TGAATACGATGGTGAACCAAATCTGAGAAGAGAAATGACACTTGACTGTATACAAATGGGTTTTCGTGCCCCCATGTTTGCTTGCACATAAGATTTAGTTTTTTGGTTTATTCATTTGGGTTTTCTCTTGAAGATTGCCATTCTCTGATGATTAGTTCTTTTGTAGGTTTATTTTGGCGGCCCTTTGCAAAAAAAAAAAAAACCTAAAAAATTGCCTGACTGGACTGGACCACGTGCCACGTCATTAAAATTTGCTTCGTCAGCGTGCCACGACTTAATAAATTTAACGCCGTCTATTAAAATTAACGGCAAGGTTCCAATTGACTCAGTTTTACAAAAATAGGGACCTAATTGAGATAAAAATAAATACGAGGACCTATATGAGACATTCGTACAAAAATAGGGATGTCTTTAAGGATTAAACCTAGATTTTATTTATATGGTAAAAGTAATTATGTTAGTTAAGCTTTACTATGTTAACATAAGTTGCTGGAGATTTGCCCTTGGCTTTATGAATAATGAACCATGCCATGGTATGGCAAGAGAATGTTCCTATGGACATGTACGGGTATTAAGAGAAAATTAATCTTAGCTGTTTGACATCATTACATAAATGGTTAAGATTAGTTTTAGGTGAACCAATTTCTATCACAGTGTTCTGTGACTGAAATCCTGGGTAAGCAAGGGACCTTTTTGATATCATTACATATCTATTGGGTTTATGCAAAATATAAAATTAATTCCACAGATTAGCCCAAAGAACCTTTTTAGAACATTTCACACACTTCTAAACGTGTGTTAAATTTGAGGAAAACTATATGTATGCTAAAGATTACTGTTTTTTAATTATAGTCTTAATGGTTATAAATCTAAATTTTGCTAGGATTTGTATCAAAGTTATACTATTTTTTTTAGTTCATTCAATTTTTATTTTAGTTGGTCTTCATATTCCACATATTAGTGTTTTTTAATTCTTAATTGGTCTTCTTATTTTTTATAAGTACAATCACGTACTTTGGTTCTCATATTTTCTCATTTTCCCAAGTCCTTTAAAGAGACATGATGAAATTAATTGAATACTACAGATGATTGAGAAATTTTATTATTTGCTTGGTTTGAAAGCTAAGGTTGTACGAAACAATTGGGTACAAAGACTTTTTTTTTCTATTTCAAGATAATTTAATAAAATTACAAAGATTAAAGAAATTGTAAAATAATCCCTTGTTATTAATATTCAAATTTACAATCACTTTGACACCTCAATCATTACTCTCAGTGTGATGCATTTCAGTAAAAGATTCCCACAACAAATTAAATGTTGAAGGGAGTTGTTTAATGCTTGGTTTTATATTTTTGTTCATGTTTACACTTTTTTAACTAAGAGATGAAACTTAGAGAGCAACAACCCCTATGCTACCAGCCTCTATGCATCCAGATTCCCTACACAGGAAGGGCTCTTAATTTTGAACACAACTCCAGCTGCTTGAGACATTTTTCTAATAACCTAGCAACTAGATGCAATTGTTCAACTCTAATGCTTTGTGGAAATGTGTCACCACTAGCCAGGCAGAACATACCAGGCAGGATATGCGCAATGATTACTTATAGGTAAGTGCTGATCTAAGTTCTTTTTAAGACTATTTTCTTTTCTCTTTAATCTTTGCTTCAATCTGTTTATTTCTTTTTTTTATAGCATTCTTAGTTTTAAAAAATAATTTGTGATATTTTCGTCCCTTTTTTTTATGAAGAGGGTGTTTTGATATATCTGATGTAATACTTTTGCAAGAAGTTTTACTTGACTTCTTTGTCAAGTGAACTTTGTTTTGACTAATGTAACTTATTGATCCTTTCAACTTCTTTGTCAAGTGAACTTTGTAGCATTGTTTAATGTTTTAATTAATTATAGCAGTAAACACAAGAATAACTTATTAATCCTTTCAACTTATTTTGTTGCTGCAGGTTTCATTTAATTTGCTTGAGAAGTACTTGGAAGCACACTCAAAGGCCTCCATGTGGGAAAATGAGCTCCTGGATGTAGGCTACCAGCCTCTGTGCATCCAAATTCCCTACACAGTAAGGCTCTTAATTTTGAACTAAGAACTCCAGCCTCACGTTTTGTTTCCTTAGTTGGTATAAGGCTTACTCCTTGCATATTATTTTTTCTGTTAGTCGTGTACTCTATGTTAGATGGCTTACTCTAAGTAACATTTATTTTTATACTTCTTGATACACTTGATAAGGATATTAATTTGTTCTCCATGAGA